GAGAGAGAGAGAGAGAGAGAGAGAGATGGGTTTAACGTCCACTCGACAGGATTACATAGTACTAGTATTAGGAAGAAATGGTACTAGTTATAAACATAGGACTAATTGGTACTAGTATTAATAATAGGACTACATGGTACTAGTATCAGGAAGAAATGGTACTAGTAATAAAACAAGGACGAACTGGTACTAGTATTAATGATAGGATTTTAGGATGAAACGGTAGTAGCAATAAAAATAGGATTATATGGTTCCATCACTAATAATTGGACTAACTGTTACTGGTCCTGTACTTCTGTACAGCATTTTATTGTTTTTATACAATTATATAGTTTCTTGGAAGACATAAAATTGACACATCAGAGAAAAACCAAAATGTTCCTTCTTTGTTTTTATATAAAATCGTGTGAAAACAAATATTTCGTTATGTTTGCTTCGTTTCGTATTGTCTCTATTTTTCTGTTTTTGTTACTTTTACGACTATAGGAAGTCGGCGTTCGTTATTTGAGGATAAATATTGAATATTATCTAAAGGTGAAAATATGTGAGATATTCGTTTCGTAAAAAATAGAAATGAGATAAAATATATAAATATTACAATGCACTGTGGAGGTAGTTAAACAAAAACATGTATACATTTTATTTATTTGTCCTAAATATGAAGGTTTGTGTTGGAATTCGCTGAAGGTCACCAAAAAGGTTAAACTGTTCTGGGTTTATTTTGACCGTCTGAGAGACAGAGAGACAGAGAGAGAGTTTAACTTCCACTTATGTCATTTCGGGACTAACATATGGTTCAATTTTATATCAATAAGGCGCATACTGACCCGGACAAGCGTAGAGTCGAAACCACGACTCAAGGACACACCTTGTGATTTCACGCGCACGCGTTAAAAACCACTAGACCCCCCCCCCATTTAATTTAAAGTCTCTGGTCGACATTCTATAGATTGCTACTTCCCTGCAAACTACAATAGTATGAACGTTAAATCTGTAAAAGGGAAATATTAATCTAAAATTGTTCAATTCTGTCCAGTATTTATAAATATATGATGAATTCATATCAACATTCGGTATCCACTGCGAGGAAATGGGCAATACGAGTTTCATTGAAGTCTTTTGATGGGTATCATTTTAATCCGATTGAATGGTGTAAAATTTGATACTTTCCGAAAGTTGAAAATAACGCACACCGACTTTAAAGACTAATAGTCTAGAGAAGAGGTAAATGACACGCGGAGACTTTAAAAACTATATTATAGAGATGAAATATATAAATATTCAGAGGCACATAATATTGTTTGTCCACGGTTACAATCTTAATTGTTCGTGAAAGGCCACATAGAACTGTCAAAACCAGAGTTGACAATCTGTATTTAATAATTAGTTATTTCAACAACTAATATTATTTTGTTCATGCAGGTATTCAATATCCCGCGAGAATGAAATATAATGAAATGGAACGGGGTTTAACATCCAGCTTTTTCTGAGCGGATCGGAGTTGGTGGTGTGGGGGGGGGGGTCCAAAAGGTCTGTCATTCAGTCAAGTGGCGTGGTATCGATTCCCCGCTTAAACGTGACAAGGAGTAGGATCGCCCGTGAATATCGTGGGTTTTCTCCGGGTCCCCCGATTTTCTCCCACTGATAAAAAAAACCCACGCGCAAGCGAATTATTGAAATAAATTGAATCATATGTTATTCCCGAAATGACCTAGTTTGCGTTGAGTGGATGTTAAACTCTTTCTGTATATTTAGCAAATAGTACGACGAAAGGCTGATTACTGTAAACAAGTTATTTTAACTAGCATAAGGATGATAACCATTTGCAAACCTGTTCATAAAATATCGAACTATATAGTAAAAAGAATTACAACAGAAAATTGTTAGTTATGTGAACTTCTCAAAAGAGAAGTTGTATCGGTAAATTATGTGGATTCCAACCGCAAATCAAACTTCCACAACCGGAGACGAAATCGTAGGAAAAATTTGTATTGAAGAATCCGCCTGTGCTAATCATTCAGACCATCTTGACATGGCCAAAAAAATTTCCTCCGGTGCATTTGTTTTTGTGAGAGATATTTAATGGCGTATATCAATATGTTGTCGATTAGTTGACGAGGTAGAAGATTGTCTAGTCGCAATCTCTCACCGTGTTTGTCATCAGATTTATCTGTAGTGGGTTCAACCCGTAATTAATCGATTAAGGTCGAGTACCGGTCGTCGCTTTGTTAATGGCGGGGTTAATGATACGTCGTAAGCTGAGTGGGTAGAAATAATATTTTTAACTTTTGAAAAAAAAGAAAAATAGACATGCGTGTAGACGTTTTTGAATTAACTTTTGGGTTACTTGGAAGAGTGTTCAATTACTGTTGCTCGAATTGCTATACTCGGGCAATATTCAATGACTGTTGCTCAAATTGATCTTTGAAGTCATAACAACGTATATTCCTTCGGTTGGGACGAAAAAACGAGGTCCAGCGTACGCATTGACGTACACGTAAAGATCCCTTGGCAATTGGAATTCGATATAAGAGTAGACCTTAACGCCTCTGTCCGGGCAAAATATCCCTCATAGCACACTGTCTGAAGAAGATTACCAAGGGTATGAAACCAGTTCCTGTTTCGTGAAGTAATTTACCCTTGAAGTCAACCGATGACATTTTATTCATTACCCAAATTTCTGGACATGTCATTTGGTGAGGCACTTGGTGAACTCATTTTCATTTTAAGCCATTTCTCCTCAACATACAGGGTGTCCGTGTTACATTCAATTTACCGTGCACTATTCTTCTGATACCCAATTGTGGACTGGAATACAGGGACACGTCTTGTTGTTATCTGCTTGTCAACTTGTACAAGGGACATTGGGTTTTTTGTCCATCGGAATGACAAAAAAAGACGTTGCTCCTTGCCAGTCCCTTGAGCTTAACCATTGAAAAGGCGAAAACACGCCTACAAATCCCCTGGAAATGTCTCGTTCAGCACCGATTTTGAGTCGGTGATATCCTTGTTAAAGATCTGTTAGATTCTCACGCTCCCATGCGATTATATTCTTCTTGCAAATGAAAACAAAGCCCAATAAATCCTGCAGTATGTTCGATTAACAAGAGACAGTTTTCTAGTTCCCATGTCATCTATGGTTTAGTTATATCGACATTTTTATTGTCGGGGTCAAGGAATTTGCCCTGCTTTAATTGCATCAATTTAAGAAAGTATTTAACGCCCGAAGTCTGTTGAATTTCCCAGGTAGTATTGGCGCACTGGGGACCATTGATAATTAAGTGAATGGGGTTAAAGTCTTATCCACATTTAAAGACGCATTATGTAAGATTTAGATAAAGAGCTGACATTTATCGCAAAAAAATAGTTTAAAATAGATCATGAAAAGGAGTAAATTGGAAATTTCAGTCAAATTACACCATTCTAAGCAGATTTGTGAATGTTTGAAGAAAAGTGTAGTCTAGATTTTCATTGCTACTGTTGTTACGATAAGAAAACAAAGTCTCGGTTATTCATTTTCAAATTAAATTTTTAAATTACGTTTGTTCAAAATCGCAACCACTCGATATTCTAGAGAGTTGATTATAGACTTGTGAAAAAATGTCTAATTTATAATTTATATAACATTTAAGGCCAAATGAAATACCTGCATTAGGCAGATTCACATCTTACATAATGCATCTTTAACCAAGTTTTCATTTTTGAAGCAGACTTCCTTCCTATTTTTAGTCTATAGTTTCGTTGTATCACTGCTACGATGTTAAAGATACATTATGGAAGATTAGATAAAGAGCTGACAATTCACACTATATAATAGTTAAATAATAGATAATGAAATGAGAATGTTCTGAAAATTTCAGTCAATTTTCTTCACTCTAAGCCGAGAAATTTTATAAAACTTGTAACCTCGATTGTCATTGTTGCCGTTGTGACGAAATTAAAAAAGTCCCGATTATCCATTTTTGCGTTTAATCGTCAATGGCTGTTGAACGGTAGACGGATTCAAATCTAATGAAAATCGGAAGCCTCAGATAGCATCCAGATTTGATTAGGTCTTGTCATGTTAATAAATGTCTAATTAATAGTTTATATAACATTTCAGACCTAAGCAAAGACATAGCAATATGCAGATTTAGCCGTTGCACGATGCTCATTTTCTGCCCAGGTTAAGCAGAGTGATAAACTATTTGATTGCTATATGGTTTATAAAAAGATAAATGTGGTAGTAATTAATGAGTGTCATCTATTTATTTTGGGATTGAGATGGGGGACATCAGCCTCACTGTTGGCTTGTTTGTTTGTGTTTTTTGTTTGCGGGTTGATGGGAGGGCGAGAGAGAACTGTGATCACATTTACCTAGGTCGTGCTTTAAGGACATTATTCGTTTATTTATCAAAGAGAGATTGGGTTTAGCGTTCGCTAATATATATGGTAGAATTTTATTTCCATCAATCGATTGTATGTAGGGCATCTTTAGCAGTGTGAAGAAACTAGAGGACCTGGTGAAAAACCCACAAGGTTGGGCAAGCGACCCTACTCCTTGTCACGTACAAGTGTGAGATCGCATCCAGACATGCCACTTGACTGACTCAGTGACAAACCTTATGGTCTAAAGCATTGGGCCATTCGCAATTATTAAAACAACAACTTAAAATCGGGTAGTTCCGAGAATGGTCATAATACTAATCAAAGGCTGGGGAAAAACAAAACAGAAAAAATTAATTAAAACGCGAACAAATGAGCATTCATGAATCGAGATATCACGTTTCTGGCATATTTTCAGTTTCTGGGAGTTATATTGGGTATTATGTCAAGTCGTCTCGAGACAATCACGTGCACCAAAAATCGAATTTAATGACGACGTTAGTTTACATGAGAACAGGTGAAGGGAGATATTAGACATGCGCAGTGAAGTATATTTGGTAAAGGGGGTAAACATTCGAGAAAGTTTGGAAACAGGTGAAATATCGATCAAAATATGAACAAATTTAGACGTGAAAGCGAATAGCCACGGAGAAGAACAGTGTTAGCGCAAGTTTTAACCTGGCTTCAATGGCAGGTGCAGATTTACAGACAGACAAACAACAAGGAAAGTTAGATATATCGGATTATGGCGACAAAATGTGATGATATAAAATCTACCTGTGGATAAATAAGTGCTTTGTTAAATTACTTTGTGTATTTTATAAATGTTATATTTATGTTGTTTTTTGGTTAAATGCAACTATTAAAGTTTTATTCTGTGCGGGTTACCACCAAAAGTCAACCTCTTTATAGAGGTCGTGTTGGCGTGTGCAGAAAATGAAATGGCGGAATTTGTCATGGATACTTTTACTTACTTTCACTTTATTGGTAAGATTATCTTTCCTTATTTTCTCGTTTTATTTTCTCTGTTGTTTGTTTTGCTTTCTTTGTAGAAATATTTGTACTTTGCATTTTAACTTTGGATTCATTTGGATGAGATTTTCCTTTTTTTTTCTTTTATTTTTTTTTTTGGCGGCCTAGATATTGTATTTTATGTTACTTTAAAGCCTTGGGTTTTGCTTTTTTTGTATTTGTTTTCCGTTTTGCTTTTCTTGTAATTACGTTTACTGCATTTTGTCATTTTCTTGGGTTCATTTTTCCAGTCTCTTGTTTTGCATTCTTTTTTTATGTTGATTTTTAAGTAGTAATCAAGTGCCGTTTTTTTTAAAACAAATTAAAATGCCTTGCTTTATTAGTATTTTTATCAATGTCTTAAAGGGCTAAACCTCTTAGATATTTTGTAAAACTCTTTTGTTTATATCTTCTTTCATTTTATCATCTATTTCTTACAGGCCGAAACTTCCTTCCTGTAGTTCTTTTTTTATTTTTCATTTCTTGGTTTGTGTTTGTCCGTTACGCGTATGGCGTATACGATTAAATTGTGTAATCTCAAAGATTATAATTTTCTGGATTTCATTTTAATTTCAGATCTTTTTTATATTATTACTAGTATTACTAGTATTTCCAATTCCGATTCTAGATGGATTATCACTTCTGTTTTCTACCCGATGCGTGGAGGACGGCTTCTGCCCGAAACCTCATATAACATTACATTCAATTGAACATCATTTCATATTTACAAATTAACGTATTTAAGAAATATCATTTAAATGCACTTCTTTGCGTTTAATTGGATAGTACCACACTGGTGCGTGTATATAAAATAACAAGCAACGTTTCAAAAATGTCACTCTCGTCTTTATTATGAAGTAACAAGAAGTTTAAATTTACACCAAGGTTTGCAAAGTTTAACAATGGTATGTTACAATTCATGTTCTGTTTTCGATCAAATTCCACGTTTAATTAATATAAATACGAAACTCAGCCTCTGAAGGTAAATTGTCATAATATCAATTGAAATGAGATTTAACGTTCTAGTTTTCTGCACAATTCGGGCCAAGGAAGGCGGAAGACGACGCTGTCTTTTCAGTTTTCATGAAGTAATAATTATTCTCAACTGATACTGTAATATCTTCGTTTAAGGACGAAAATTCTTATAAAGAAAACAATTCTTGTAATATTAGAAACAAAATAGGCTTTTAGCCAATGATTTAATTTTGCGCGCATTCCTTTTATTAAAAAGATATAAATTTAAATATATATTTATTTTCGCTATGCATTAAGTAAATAATGACGTCATGGGTTTGGGGTAAAGTAAACAATGGTGAAACATGTCACATTTTTTTTGTTTCGGGGGAAAAAAGAAAGAGGTAATGTATCGACCCCTGTAGTAAACCGCTCTTAAATAGTGCGAGTCACGAATATTAGTAAATCTTCTTGCATATTTGATAGTTTAGTTTGATTTCATTATTTCAATATTTAAATTTTTCAATATTTTATGATTTATTAAAAGATAGAGATACACATAGAATCATAAAACACGAAACACAACCAACTTTAACCTTTGGTCAAAATACCATCGACGTATAAAGAGAGAGAGAGAGAGAAATGGGGTTTAACGTCCACTCGACACAAACTAGGTCATTTCGGGACTAACATATGGTTTAATTTTATTTCAATAATTCGCTTGCGCGTAGGGGTCTTTAGCAGTGGGAGGAAAGCGGAGGACCCGGAGAAAACCCACGAGGTTGGACAGGCGACCCTACTCCTTGTCACGAACACCCGGGGATTCGAAACCACGCCAGTCGACTCAATAACAGACTTTATGATACAGCGCGCGCACGCTAACCATTCAGCCCCCCCCCCCATCGACGTATAAAGAAGGAATGTCATCTAGGTTTCAGCGAACCACTGCTATCCCTTATCATTTCACTAATGACAGGTTAACATTTGGACTAGGAACGAAGCCCCAAGCTCTATTCCTCGTGTTGTTCTTGTTCTCCTTCCGTTTCACGTACAATCGACATGGAACCTGGTATATATTGTTATTATTACGTCATAATTTCAAGATGGCGGCGATGATATCATGCTCGGTTCATATAGAACCATCGTACTTTTTGTTCTTCTTCTTCTTGCTCTTCCGGGGGGCAACGCTCTTCGAAAAAGGCAAAGCCCAAAGATCGTCTAATTCAAGTACGATCGACATGGGCGGTGCAGCCATTGTTAATATTACGCCATAATTTCAAGATGGCGGCAATGATATCACGAACGGTTCATATAGAACTATCGTATACTTGTTAAAATAACGTTTTGTTAGCATATTGGGTACACGTCTAGTACACATAAACTAAAATTAAAATTTGATGTAATTTCATTTCTGCACCAACCGGAATAATAAATAGGCGCTTTTCCTGACAAGAGGAAATGCCGTCCTGATTAGTGAGCTAGCGCCATATTCACCGATCCACTGTTATTTAACTGAAAAGGTGTCTTTGTGTATGGGCCCAATGTATAGTGTGGCGGTATAGGATGCTTTATGTCAGACAATGTAGTATCCCCCTTTCCAGAAAAAAAACAACATGATCATGCTTCCCAATAGGACACCGGACGTTTATGTGTACGGAACGTAACTTTGATTCAAAATTAATTTTATTTATTATTTTGTGTATTTATATTTCGATGATTTCCATTGTGATCGCAGTCTATTTCGTAGAATCTATCAACATTTAAAATTTGACAATGCTTCATATTTCCTAGAATATTTACACTACAGTAAGGTCTAACAACATCTTTATATTTACACTACTGTAAGGTCTAACAATGTTTTTATATTTACAATATAGTAAGGTCTAACAACATCTTTATATTTACAATATAGCAAGTTCTAACAGCATCTTTATATTTACAATATAGTAAGGTCTAACAACATCTTTATATTTACACTACATTAAGGTCTAACAACGTCTTTATATTTACACTACAGTAAGGTCTAACAACAGCTTTATATTTACACTACAGTAAGGTCTAACAACATCTTTATATTTACACTACAGTAAGGTCTAACAATGTTTTTATATTTACAATATAGTAAGGTCTAACAACATCTTTATATTTACAATATAGCAAGGTCTAACAGCATCTTTATATTTACAATATAGCAAGGTCTAACAGCGTTTGTATATTTACACTACAGTAAGGTCTAACAACATCTTTATATTTACACTACAGGAAGGTCTAACATCATCTTTATATTTACACTACAGTAAGGTCTAACATCATCTTTATATTTACACTACAGCAAGGTCTATATTTACACTACAGTAAGGTCTAACAACATCTTTATATTTACAATATAGTAACAGCGTCTCTATATTTACCCTACAGTAAGGTCTAACAACATCTTTATATATATTTACACTACAGTAAAGTCTAACAACATCCAAAGTCTAACAACATCTTTAATTTATACATTTTTATGTTTCAATAACAGTAAGTTCTACCAGCATTTGTTATTAAATTTGTGTTGGACTGAGCTGACCTGAACTTTCATCTACCCAAAAATCAGCCCCGTAAGATTGAATGAATAAAACCTTCCACAATTGCTAAAATTACACCCCAAAAAGAACAGAGGGAGAGAAATGGGGTTTAACGTCCACTCGACACAAACTAGGTCATTTGGGACTAGCATATGGTTCAATTATTTCAATAATTCGCTTGCGCATAGGGATCTTTAGCAGCGGGAAGAAACCGGGGGACCCGGACAAAACCCACGAGGTTGGACATGCGACTAAAAAGACCAAAAAGTTGATAAGTAGTATAGATGTTATTGTAGACTAGTATAGACCAGCTAAACATTAAACCAAAAAGAAAAGAGATAGAGAAATTGGGGTTAACATCCACTCGACACAAACTAGGTCATTTCGGGACTAACATATGGTTCAATTTTATTTCAATAATTCGCTTCCAGTATAGGCCTACCAAACATAAAACCTGATCAAAATAACGACTGGCGTTATTTAGAAATAATCGTCGTAGCTAATCATGGTTCAAATCTGACCACAAAGAGAACAGAAAAGGCATGGAATTAGAGTTACGTAATATTTAACTTGTAATAATACAAACCATAGTTCAATAAATATCTGAAATAACATTGAGTTTAACGTCCTACTTGTCTGCTCCATCCAGGCTAATGAAGACAGCCAATACATATCTTAAATATACGACCATGGGAAACTTGTCCTGTTACTAATCGCTGATATTACTTTCTTTGTTCCCAGCTGTTTTCCTTTGATTTAGTTTGTGGAAATACATGCCACGAAATAACACAGATCAAACGCGGTGCAAGACTTATTAAAACACTTAAATCCTAAATGATATGCACTAAAATATTATTGTTTAAACGATTTTAATACAGAAAGATTGAAAAAGTTTGTTTTGGTTTATTTTTAAAGCTATGAAACATTGGTATATTATACTTCCAATTTACCGGAAGTAAATATAGAATTTCATTTACATAAACAGAAATGGGGGTTAACGTCGAACTTTTTTGCACCTATGCGGCTAATGATAACGGACATTTAACCGAGACAGCTACACTTAACCGAATTCCAACTCTCAAGGGTTTTGCTTTAAAGGTTCAATACCACTCTTGTTGTAACTGAATAATATGTCCCAATCTTTATTCTGGTCAACAAATTGTACTATTTTACAATATTCCAATTAATTGATGATACAAATTTCATCGTAACACATCTAATTTAAAAAATTGGAAAAATTCAACTAAATGATTTGAAAAGCCTGACGTAAAGCTTTTCAAATGTTACTTGGATTTAAAAATATTTTTGAACCCTCTGGACAAGTAAAATAGGATTTAATGGATAATTTACACAACAGGTAGGACACTAACACATCTAGTACTTAGAATAAGGCTATTTTTTTATTTTCTAGACCTGTCAAGCCAGCAAGAGTGTTATTGTCCCTTTAAGAGC